AGTTAATGACGCCGTAGGGAGCAGGAAATCCCTCATTTTCCATTATATGAAGCATGCGGACAGCTGCCGTTATGATAGTTCCTGGGCTGACGGAGGCTGGCGCTGACTGAACTGCGGAAGAGAAAAAGGTAACAAAATCTGGCCCTCATCGATTTCATGTCACAGGTTTTTAAAATCCTCAGAGAACGATTGAGCAAAATATCAATTTAACCCTACGTGGGCCGCCCTCACGCGAGTTCCTCTGAGGTTTTCGCCGTCTCTTTTATCATCATCCAGTAATCTATCAGTAGGTTATCAGTGTGTAAACATACAGTATACATGGCATTTGCTGTGCTCAAAAAAGGTTACCGACGACTTCATAACTTAGAAAAATTCTAAATAATTGAATATAACTGCCCTTCCCCGTGTGGCGGACGTGGTCCCCAGTAGATTGAGCAATAAATTGATAACTTACCGGAATAACTCGATCACATGGATCATGTAACTGCGAAGTTTGTAGCGTTTGTAGGTGGCCATGATTTTGTAGACGGCTTTTGTCTGCTTGTATCGGCGTCTGGCCAGGGCGCCACGTAACATCTGTGAATCACCTTCGGTGAGAGGCGTATTGGGAAACATTCTTTTTCACATTCCTTCGAAGTACGTCAGATGACTAACCTTCTGCAGATAAATGACCACTGTTGGTAATTTCTCGCTTCGTAGTTCTTCGAGGCGAAACACCGTTTGTGGACTTCGGATGAACACCTCAAACAGATACAGTGCTTTTCAGACACTCCTCGACGGTAAAGTTTGAGGGAGCGTGGCACTACAGCGTACCACGCCCGGGGACGGTGTGGCACTCTTAAGTACCGCAGTGGGCTGTCCATTCAATGCATGCGATAGTACCTTTCGGATCGCCTATATTCATTTACTCTAGAGATCATATATAGAAAGACGTTACGAGGTGGTCTAAAAATTATATGGAGCAGTGTTCACTCGAGGTATCTAAGTTTTTCCTTAATTTTCGGGCCGCTCAACAATCGCGCCTATCCCACGTGCCCAGTTAAGGAAAGACGTGTACTGTTATGAAAAAAGGAGATATATGCAGATTAGGCTACCCTCACAGAGTGGTAACCAAGAAGTATCCCTGATTCCTGGGGAAGCAATAAGCCCAATCACAATTTTACGAGTATATACACGCAAATTCAGCCTACCTCACTGAAAATCGCGTCTTTTCTGACTTACCGGTTTAAAGCAACATTTTTTCGATAAATAACTCCAAATTTTTGAACCATAAGCGAAGACCTACCTGTTGTTTTACTATAAACGCAATCGATCGTGCATCCCAATGTAACTTCAAATTCGGCACAATTATCACGCCGGAAATGCCCCTCGGATTTGCCAACAGTGTCTGGACAGAGTAACTTGTACCTGTAAACACAATTTGAGATTCAGTAAAAGTACAAGTGCTGGTGAAAAATGCGAGGATCTCGCTCACCTGTTGATAAAGCGATCGTAGCCGCACCGATAGACAAAACCAGCTCGTCGAACGCGTACATTCTCGAGCAATCCCAAATAGCGCACCTTTAAAAAAGGAAATCGTTGCGGTGACGCGCAACTTATGGGACAGCCGAAGTGCGAACCTGATGCTCCACCCGCTCCAAGTCAAATAGTACTGCTCTTTCCTCATTGGCTTGATACAGCGAATGTAATGTGGTTCCTTACTGGCCAGTTGAGCCACCAAAATGTCAACATGGAATCTATAGAGAGGAAGTCATTACTCCTATATTCCCACTCTGATAACTTTGAAATTAAGCCCGGTTTGAAGAGCCGACCTGGTTAAAATACGTCTAAAATAATTCAATATCGTAGGTTTCTCACCTTGAAGAGGTAACCAGCGGTAGGCGGCCGTCGATTCACTTCCGTGACTGACTTTGAACCATCGGGGAACAGCGAATGCAGAAGACCCGCTCCATGAAAAATGTTCTCAAGAAGTCTATTAGACATGGTCGTGCAACCTGCATACTACTGATGCGTGCGGTCGCGCGGCGGAATTGCCCGAATAGCCATGAACATTTCAGGCGACAAGTGGAACTGATTGCAGTAAGACAACGGAAGTTGAAGGATCAGATAAGCAATGCCGTTAAAGTTCTACCAGACAACGCTTATGAAGAGCAGCTAAAGAAGCCGCTCTACGACCGCTCGCGTCAGCGACCTTCAAAACACAAAAACCACCAAATCAGACAGGGTTAGAACCCGAGCTTACAATAGCAGAAAATTAAGAAATTTTCCATTCAAAGTTTAAACATGAATGCGAGCAAAAAATCGAAAACTTTTCGTACCTGTTTGAATAGCAGCCTCTTTAGATCCTGGAACAACGTGTCCCTATTCTTATCCATGAAGCCGTTCACTGAGTAGGTGACGTCGCCTGCGTAGTGGGTAACCCTAGAATACAGTAATCTATAACACCGTACACCTCATTAAATTTGCTTCCCAACGAAACACCCTTCTGAGAGAACTGGGATGATTTCAACGAGCAGGAAGCTCTAAATCTGGGCCACCTGAGCCACCTCCCCCACCACAGTGGTCGCGTTCTCAGTGGGGTACATAGGATTGTGAACCAGAGCTCACAAACCCCAGATGTAATCACCTGAACTCATCGAATTTGATGCTCTTTTCTGACTGCTTCAATCCTCTGCTGGTATAGTGCTGGTGTGACTGCAGTTCTTGTCGAGTTCTTTCAGAAATACCTAAACAACAGTATCACATACCAAGGGTACGGTATTCTGTAAGTCCTGGAACTTCCATTGGCAGATCGTCATGTCCTTTTGATCGGTTGATTACATGGAAAGCTCTAGAAAGTCTGAGAAAACCCACTTCGTCAGTCACATTTCCAACAGAAGCACATGCGTCGTCGAGCACCGACAAAATGCCGGTTCGTGGCATTTCCACCAAATCACAAATGATCTGCAAAAGAAGTCTGGTCGAATTTAGAAGTGGAGAATAAATGGTCCGGCTTACTTTGTTATTGAAATAATCAATTTTCGACCACTT